GTGAATCAAGAGGTTTTTTTTATATACAATATCAGTTATATCAAAGTATTTGAATGTCTATTTCCTCTTAGACCTTACTCAAACCATTATCACTTAAAGTTTCAAGGACTGTCTATATTAATGTTGACATGAAGAGACTAACTGTTACTGCCATAAACGAATTTAAGTAAAAATGGCAAAAGTGGATAAATCCGTAAAAATGGCAAAAGGATTAAAATATAGATGAATATCTCACAATGAGTTTATTAAAATCTTGGATACAATATATAATGGAAAAATAATGAGAAGTTTGTCAAATTAAAAAAGAATATTCAGCTAAAAAATTATAAATCCCATAAGATTTTTTATTTTTAGGTGATTATGTCTGAACACACTGAAAAACTTTGGGAAAAAACAATTATAGATCTACTTGATGAAACCTAAAAAAAAAAAAAAAATAAAATATTAATTATTATTTTATATATATATATATATATATAAAAGAAATATGTTGTAGTGGTTCCAACGAGAGAAAAGTATGTATATTAAAAAAAGAGAAGAGGTGCCGCAAACGTTTTTGGTTGTAATGTGGATTTATTTAGAAAAAATATTATGCTTTGTTTTACATAATTTTACGACAACGTGTTTCTGGTCTCGCAACCGTCTTCAGGTAAAAGTGGAGATTTCTACATATTATTAAAAATAATTTAATTTTTCTTCATGTTCAATGTTAAATATTCTCGATATGAGACATTTTCTGTTTGTGTGTTGGTAATCCGAATTTTTTTTATAAATAAATATATATATATATTCTAACGATTATATATAAATATTGTGTTTTAATTTTTAATATATATATATATATTTATTATATATTATATTTATATATTATATTATATATATTTTAATATATATATTATTTTATTTATCTATTTATATATCTTAAATATGTTTTCCAAATATTTATATATATTTACGTATATATCTTATTTTATATATATATATATATACCACTAAAATCGTTTTATATATATATATAATTCTAAATAAATAATTTATATATATATTTTATAATTTATTTCTAAATATATTCAACATTTCTTTTCAGCTATTGAAAATAAATATATAAATAAAATAAATGGATTATATATTTTATTATTTATTAAAAATTTTCAAATAAATAATATATTATAAATAAAAAAATTTGAATATATATTATTTTGTCTTATCAGAAATATAAATTCGCTTAAATGTTGTTATTAAAATATATATATAATGGAATATATTGAAATTTGTATTTTCGATAAATTAATGATTAAAAAAATTAAAGATAAACCCAAATACATATTTTATATTTAATTAATATTTTTTTTTTTTTTTTATATATTATATTATAACATAATACAAACAGTGTTTTTAAATATTGAATATCAGTTTAATTTAGTTGGATTTTAAATTTAAATATATATTTTCCATGACTGGGTAATTCAATGATGACTGAAAAGTCCAATATGAAATATTATCTAATCGTTTTATTTTTTATGCAGATTCAATTCTGAACATTTAATTTTAAAATTTTTTTATATATACAAATATATATAATGCATAATTTATTTTATATATATAAATAAATATATTCTATTTTATATTTAATATATATCTATATATTATATAATATCTTTTTTTAATAAAAAATAGTAGATGCAATTCTTTTTTTTATTAAATATTATATTTTTAATATATTAAAAAAGTAAATATATATATTCATATATAAAATATATCCCGTAAGTAAATATTTGATTTTCGACGTAATATATATATGGATGTTATATTTGTATATGGATAAAGGAGGTTATATGGTTTAAAAAAATATATGGAAAATAATATATAATATTAAAATATACATTATTCAATATAGGTAGTCAAACTTCAGAAATATTATTATATGGACAAGATTTTGAAATTATAGTAAAATAAGTATATAAATTTTGCACATTCTTTTTTAATATATTCCTTAATTTTGTAAAATGGATTTAATTAATTATAAATTTAAATATGTTGTGTTTTGATGGCTTTTTATCGAATTTGGAATATGAAATATCCTTATAGTTTTTTTTAATATATATTATATACGATTTTTCGTAATACAGTAATATATATATATAACTTAAATATTTTATATATTTCTATAATTAATTATACTGTGCCAAGTAAAACAGTTGCCAAATTAGCATTATATATATATAATAAAAAATCAAATTTGCAGATAAAGATTTACGTATATTTTTCGATAGTGTGAATATACAATGATATTTAATATATGATATGATTGTCATCATTATAAATTCAATTTATTTTCACTTCATTTATATCAATTATATATATAAATTATATGAAAAACTAATTAATCTACAAATTTATTAAAAATTTGTAAGATCCATATATATTTATTCTAATATAACACATACCAATTCCATATTCATCAACTATACAACATATCTATTCAAATAAATATATAAATATCTATAGTTAAAACAAAATATTCATTTTCTCTTTCCATTATATTAAATAACTCTTATATATTTATATATATATATATTAAAATTTATATATATATATTTAAAAAAGCACAATTTTTTTAAATATAATATATATATAAATAATAGAAAACATCACCAAATTGATATTATATATATATATATATATAATATATATATATATATATATATATATATATATATATATATATATATATATATATATATATAATATAAAAATAAAAGAATTAAAATTTGATTAAAAAAGTAATGCATGAAAACAATTTCAAATTTTTTAAATAAAAATATATTCGTATAAGATATAATATTAAATTTTCATTAGTTACAAAAATTTACATAATGATTTCCTATTTTTTTTTAAATAAAGTTTAAATGGAACAAAAAGAAATTATGTCAAATTTCAAACATGAGGAACGATTTGAATAAAACTTTATAAAACCTTTAATTTATTTGTAAAAAAAGCTTCTTGAAACAATTTCAAAATTTTGTTTGAAGTTTTAATTATCAATTCCAATTTTTCCCTTTTTAAAATAAGGCAAATTTATCTTCGCTTTCTTTGAAGAAAAAATATTAATTAAAAATATTTATTTTAAAAATATCAATTTCATGAAATGTTTAATATTTTAACTAAACTGAAAGTGTCTTTCATCCTTCTCAAATGGTATAAAACTCTGTTGTATATTGCCATTTTTTTTGTTAAACCAAAACCGGGCAGACCTTTTTTAAACATGAAGAAAGATGATGAATGCCTAATTAATTAAAAATTTTTTTTACATTTTTTCTGAAATTCAATCAATATATCATTTTATTTAATGAAGAGACAGATCTATAAAATACTAATTAAAAAACAGTTGCACGAGGTTAAATTTTTTTTTCTATTCTAAAATTTTTCCAATTTCAGAAAAAAAAATTTATATTTTGAAATAAACCAATATATATATCACTGGAACATAGGGATATATTTATAAATATTTATATATATATAAATATTTTCAAATTGTTTATAATTCCAAACAATGACTGTATACCAGTTCATCCTAAAAAAAAATTTTTAAAACAAGATATTTCCATAAACCTACCAAAATTTAAAACTGTATTTGCACAGGCAAAAATTAATTAGCATGTTTAAAGCAAAATTTTTTTTATATTATATTTTTTAATCAACAAAATAAACCTAAATCTAATTAAAAAATTTTCTATCTGTCTTGTGGCAAATTTAGTTCCTTTAATCAATCTATTTATTTATTTTTCATATTTCTTCAATCAAAGTATTGAAATCTAATCAAATAAATGTTCCCAGGAAAAATTGTTTCTTTGACTTCAAATTTATGCAAATTTTATAATTTTAATGTATATTTTTTTTCTTTTTATATTGACATTATTAAATTAAATAATTGAAATAAAAAACCCTTTTGATAATAACGCTAACAATGATCTGTTTCTTTATAATACTAAAATTATTCAAGTTATGAAATGACGATAAAATTTAAATGACTTTATTCATTTCTACTTGCAGTACGATTATTTGATTTAATTAAAATTGTTTTTTAAAAACAAAAATTTTAGGCTATTTTTTTTTTTTAAAGGCTAAATCCTGGGAAGAAACTAATTCTGATTTTCATCAACGATATTTTTAATGACATTCTAAAAATCAAAAATATATAGATTTTACCATTTTTTATTCTTTTTCAATATAAACCCTGCATTGTTGAATATATTTAATGGCTGTGGAATACATAAAGCAATCTGCGGTTGTCATATAAATTGAATGATTGTAAATAATAAAAAAAGTTCTGAGATTAAAAATCTTGTTATTATTCCATGAGTTACTTATCATCTTAAGAATTTTTTTTCAAAAACTTAAATTTTATTAAACATTTTTTACTTGCAAAATTGAAAAACAAATTAAATGAATATTCATTTCCTTGAATTTGGTTCTCACTTCATTTTTTCTAAATTAACATTTAAAAAAATATAAAAAAACCATTCGTCCATGCATGGAAGATTAATTAATCAATGAAAAATTTTTTTGCTGCCAAATCAGAGGTTCACCATATAATCATTTGTTTGGTGGCTTTTGAAAAATGAAAATTTAAATTATATTTACAATTGCATTATCATCAAAATTGTTTTTTAACCATTTTTACAAATATTTTTTGGCAATTAATAAAAAAACTTTTTAAAATCAAAACAGCATTAATAAATTTAAAAATAAGAATTCCCCAAATTTCCTGTTCTTTTTAAAAATTAAACGTCTTTTTTAATCTCTCAACAGCTTTGCTCCATTTAACCATTGTTACCTTTTATTATTTTATAAAGAATTTGATTCATATGTAAAAATTCTGCTCTTCAAAATTTGAAAAATTGGGTCAACATACCTATATTTTCTCTTTTATTTAAAAAAATAAACCCCAAAAACATTTTTATTTTTGGTCAACATAAATTTAAAGATTTTATACTTACCAATCTGACGAAGAAAAATTGACCATTAATTAATTTCATATTATATGTATTTATATATAATTTTAAAAAAATATATAATAAAATATTTATAAATATATATAAAAAAACTTTAAAAAATATATTGTCCAATTGTTGTTCAAAGTATCTGAATAATTCATTAAATGAAAATTAATTAAACATATCTTCCTTTCACCCTATATAAATAAATTAAAACAACCATGGTTAGAAATTTTTTTAAAAATGTTAATTATAATATATTTTTAATATAAGATCCCAAACATAAATCTTACTTATTATAAAACGCAGATTGTGTGTGTGTGTGTGTCTGTAACGTTTATATATTGGATCGGATTTCCTACATTTTTCAACCGATTTCAACAAAACTTCACAGGACTACATAAAATTACCTTGTGGTGGTTCTAACAGCGCCAAAAATGGGAAAAATATAATTGTTTTTGCACAAAATCAATTTGAAAACACGATTAAGAGACATCGTGAAAATGGAAGGGGACAACTCACATCGGGTTGTTTGTGTGTGTGGGTTCCTTTAAATATGGGAGCGGATTTCCTATATTTTTCAGCCGATAAAACAAAACTTCACTTTTTTTTTTTTTGGCAGGTAGTGTTTCTTATTCTCTTGCACACTTTTTTTTTTATTTTTAACATTCAGAATGCTTTAAAAATTCCATTTACAAGACAATTATTTATAATAAAATTCTATTCAATCTGGAGACTCATAACGATTGAAAACAATGTTTTTGTTTGAGTTTGGGTTTGACCAATTCGTAAAAAAAAAAAAAAAAAAAAACTAATTAAGACATGCGTGTCCGTCAACCTTAAACAATAATCTAACGATCTCTACTGATTGTACGAATACAAACATCGGAATAAATTCTTTATCTTTAGGGAAAGATAATGAAATCTAAACATACACAAGTCCTAACTAAAAATAATAACCGGAACGGGAAACTACTTTAAATACACATGGTGTCCAATTTTTTTACTGTATTCAATAAGTAAAAATCATAAATTGTAAAAGATTATTATTACAGAAAGGCTACTAAATGAATAAGATTTGTTAGATCATAATTAATAAACCCAAATAAAGTTAATATTTTTTGTATTAGAAACAACGAGTGGAAAATATATTCAAATCAGAATTCTAATTATGAATCACCACAAGCAAAATATGCAATTTTTTTTTACTGTATTCAATAAGTAAAAATCATAAATTGTAAAACTAAAAGATTACAGAAAGGCTACCTACATTTTTCAACCGATTTCAACAAAACTTCACTTTTTTTTTTTTTTGGCATGTAGTGTTTCTTATTGTCTTGCACACTTTTTTCTTTATTTTTACATTCAGAATGCTTTAAAAATTCCATTTACAAGACAATTGTTTATAAAATTATTCTATTCAATCGGGAGACTCATAACGATTGAAAACAATGTTTTTGTTTGAGTTTGGGTTTGACCAATTCGTAAAAAAAAAAAAAAAAAAACTAATTAAGACATGCGTGTCCGTCAACCTTAAACAATAATCTTTGTCAATTTTATTTTTCAGTCTTTATGATGGTGGATACTTGATCTATCTCTTACTGTTATGGGCTCTACTACTAGTATTTATATTCATATATATATATATTTATAAATATATATATATTTCAAACCTTGTGAATATATTAAATAAAAGCCATTTAAAGTTTAAAGCAAATAAACTTCAAATGAAAATGTCTTAAAAAATTACTGCTAAAGAAAGAGTAAAATTTAAATTTAATTTAAAAAATAATCTACTTCCTAATTTTTTTTTAAATATTTCAATTTTCCCTTCTCCCCACACTTATTTTGTATATGTTAATATATCTTATAATTTAGGGATAAAGAAAATCTTTTCTGAAAAGCAAAAAAATAATTGAACATATTTCAAGGGATTATCTGCCTCCAAATGCCACATAATTACATTTATTTTTTATTAAAAGACAAGAGTATTTTTTTAATTAGAAATATTTTAGTTAATATCAATCAGCAAGTTCTCCAGCATAAAATTACGATAGTTATTTAAAAAAATAAAATAAAAACTTATGTACTTGAAAACTATGCCATCACATTTTCTTATTCTCTTAAAATTTACTTTAAGAGATGGAGATTAAGTATGCTTTTGAATCAGTCCCCACCATATAACAACAGGTCAATAAATCCATTAAAATCTCAAAACCTATTGCCTATGATGTTGAAATGGATAAAAATGTTGAGTGCACAAAGATTAATTGATAATCCACAATTGAAAATGACTTAATTGCTGACCAGCTACTGTTCATAACAGACAAACTCAACAATAATTAAAGATACAGGCAGAATCATTTGTTTATATTGCTTTGATGCAGTTTATAATAGAAGGAAGTTCATAATCAGATGAGTTAGAACACCTGGACTAATATAGTTCAAAAAAAAAAAAAAAAAAAAAAAGAATCAGGTTTACAGCTTCAGCAACATTCCCAACAGAAACATCACTAAATCTCTACAAAGACATCAAACTATTTGATAAAGTACAGATTATATCAAATATATGATGTAGTTTTACATTTGGAAAAATTTCACATTAACACAAATAATAAAAGTAACAACCAGAGTTATATAAACTAGAGATCTTGCTAGTTTCTGATTTATAGATGTAGTTTATTTCCATTCCAGAAGCTTTATCAAAGGAATGAGATATAGTCATATTAGTCACATATGCTATAATGAAACCTGTTTCTCTCCCAGTAATGACCCCTATTCTAGATTTTTTTACATTAATGCGGGAGATCCCTAGGGCTCTATCCTTGGACCAACATTGTTCCTAATTTTTATCAATGAAATTCCTGACATTTTCACTTCTCGACTTGGTATCTATGCTGATTACACTATTTATTCCCATTTTATTGGTAAATCTGATAGGTTCAGTAAAGTCAAATTGGCAACTGAAGTCAAAAATCAAGAAAGGGCTTGTTAATTTTAACACCTCCTAAATGAAGCTACTTTTAATTATCTGAAAGAACTTTTTTTTTTTTATCTTTAACCAGTATGGTTGATGCTAACCTCCAGGAGAGTAATTCATTGCGACTTCTCAGTCTAATATTTTCTACTGCCATGCAGTGGAACAATTAATCAATTGCTAAGTCAGCTTTAGGAAAGTTGGTTCACTGTGTCATTCTAAACAATGTTTTTTGCCAGAATCTATATTAGACCTTTTATAAGTCTACCATTTGTCTGTGTATAGAATATTGCTGCCACAGTAGGTTTGGTGCTTCTGTTATGTATCTCGAGATTCTTGATATAATTCAAAGAATTTGCAATGTTATTGGTCCTCAGTCACTTTCCCAGTGACATGACATAGCTTCCCTGTGCATTTTCTATAAATATTTTCATGGTAATTGTTCTGATGATACTTTGACTTCATGGATTTAAGTGCAGTACTTGAGTGGTAGTTAAGTCACATCATTTCACAGTCGAAATTGCTAGTTGTAACCATAAACTCTATACTACCAGTTTCTTCTTTTGCACTTCTCACTTGTGGAACTCTCTTCCAGCTTCTTGCTTTTGTGTCAATTACAATCTTCAAAAAAAAAAAAAAAAAAAAAAATGCAATGTCAACTGTCATCTTCTGTTTCCTTTATTGTCCTTTCTTAATGTTTTTCTATGATTCTTTCACTTTCAGTAACCTCTTTGCATCTTAGTGGCTTTATCACCTTGCTTAAGATAAAATGATTAAAAAAAAAAAAAAAATGTAACTAATTGCTTATATAATTCTTATATCACAGATGGGATTTATTAAGTAGATCAAAAATAATAATTACATGTAAATTCCCACAGCAAATCTGTGCTGTGCGCTTCAGGACGTGACTGATCATGGCTCTCCACAACTTCACATCCTTCATAGCTTTTAGCAAAGTTTGTCTTTTTACTATTGCTCCCATTTTCTGTTTTGCTATTCATTTACAATTTTTAATCAGGTTACTTGCTGCATTTCACCCTCCCTCCTGCCTTCATTATGTCCTGTGAGTGTCAAATTTTCCAAGAGGCCTTCTTTTCTCATTATGTGTCCTAGAAATTTCAACTGTCAACTAATTTTGAAGAGAAAATTAAGAAATTATTACATTTTCAGAGACCTTTCTTTTTATATTTTTCATGATGAGTCAGTACTAAAAACAAGAACAATGTATTTTTCTAAAAACTGTTTTCTTTCTTCCTTCTCAAACTTGGCTGCTCATTTTCTCAGCCTTTCATTATCTAGCTTTAGATGTATATGTATTCAATTTTCTATCATATATTTTTTAATTACTACCTTCTTTCCATTTCCTGCCTCAGATATTTCAAGAATGGAGTGATCAAAACAAAACTCATATCTAAAATGTTTTAAAGTTGACCTTTAAACAGGATCATCTCATATTCATTTTATAGTTTGTTTTTTTTTGTTTTTTACATTAAACTACATCCGTATATGATTTTTTGGATTGAGTGTTTTCTTGATGAGAAGACTTGTTATTATAATTACCAACTCTCATAATGTGGTTAGCGTTAATGATTGTATTTCTTTTTAGCTAAAGATAAAAAGAAATGCAAGCATAATACTAATGCTAACCAAAGAAAGAAAACTATGACTAAATAAGTTGACAAATGAACTAGATAAGCACAGAAAATTACAACTGAATTGGAGCAGAAAAGTGAATAAAAAGAACTTTGGCAAAAATCTGAATATGAAAATAGGAAATTCTTAAATCTGAAATGTTAATGTATAAAAAATAAACACTTAAATGTAATGAAATAGAATTTAGGCAGGCCATAAACAAATGGGTTATTTTTCTTTACTATTAAATAAGTATACATGTTGAAATATGTTACAAAATCTTAATCCAATTTTGATAAAAATATTTTATTTGCTACATTATCTAGGAATATGGTTTTGATTTCAGTAAAATACTAACTTACATGACATTACTGGTAATGGAATTTCCAATTTTTAAACTTTCAGACATACACACAAAACTAAATCTGTTAATTTCAATATATAATTTTTATATATATGTATTCATCTAGAATCATTAAAAGTTACTGAGAAAATAGTTTATTTAACCATTCAATTTCAAATAGGAATTTACCACATCCAATGTAAAATGTTAAAGTATAACGACACAGCTGAAACTGTTATCACTTGGTTTTTGTGTGTAGATAGAAATTAGATTTTCCTGTTTGGAAATAAGTTATTGGGTCAACCAAAAGGATGTTCTATATTTGCCATTAATTAAATCTAAGCTGTCTTAATGCCATCTTACATTAACGACAGAAAATAAGTCTTTTCAGATATTTTAAAAAAACCAAGATAATATTGAATTATTAAATATGTCAAAAGCATTTTTACAAAGTTTCACATGAGAATTTTTTTTTTTTTTAGTCAGACCAGTTGAAGTTAATGATTAAAAGATAACATTACATAATATAAAATAGAGTCTATTTAATCAAAATATCTATATCAAGTATTAGAAATCACTTGCACCAGCTTGCAGGTTTTCATACATAACTTTCATCTAAGTGGTGGGGAGGAACTACAATCATTACTTAAATATTTCATTTTTTTTTTTTTTAATAAATTGTTACAGGCAATAAAAAGTTGACACTTTACAACATGAAATACAAGAGATTACTAAGTAAATTAAGCACCAAATGATATTAACACCTAGTCTTCATTCTAAGGAGATAAGGTTATTTTCATTATTTAGACTATTTCTCCACTGCCTTAACCGGGTATTGAACTCACACTCTTTTTGGGTTCTGTTGCTGGATCTAACCAATGCCACTGTGTCCTTGAGGACATCTGGGTATGAACTTCTGGGTATTATAAACCTAATGTCTTCAGCAACCATTTTTACCAGTGCTCATATTGCAATTTTGCTGTTATCATTGCATGTGGAGAACTTTCAGAGGGAAATTAACAGGAGATAACTGACATCCATCAAACATGGCACGTGGAACTAGAACAGTCTACCCCGGTGAGCGAAGTAAAGGGTCCAGTTCGACATTCCAACCACCTGACGAAGGCCAGAGTGTACAATGGCTGAAATGTTGTGATAAATATGGCAACAAAGATGAGGACAATAGTCCGAATAATGTAAATAATGTACATAATACCTAATCTCAGAAATATAGACAGACTCTGAAGGTTATTTTCTACTATTGGAGCTTATTCTGTAGAATTAAACAATTGATTCACACACACATTTTATGCATCACATCCTTTCAGGACATGGGTAATCATAACTCTCCACAACATACAGTTTTTTGATGCTGTATGTAACCTTTGTAGTGACCTTAAACATAATAGCAGTAAGAGCTCTAAAATAATGAAAAAATAATAAAATTTATATCAGCAGCAGCTCTTGAATATTAAAACGCATGAACCCTAAAATAACTCTCTTTCGGGTTTTTCCACTTTTGAACTGGTGTTATTAACTTTCCACACTGAAAAGTAAAGGGCAGTGAAGGCTACACTCATGAAACACACCAACAAAGTATGTTTCCACTATAACATATTAAGGAATATTTTGTTGTGTATACAAGTTATGTCTAAAAGAAACTCATTTTAAACTTTCCTTTTGTTAATTTGTTTAAAGTTATCTTGCATTACAATTGGTCCGTTATGTGCATATAAGAAACCTTCCACATTTAATTATTGAAGTAGCTAATCACTAAACCATTAACCCTTTATCATCTTAATTCTGCCATCCATTCACAAACTTAAGTAGCCATTACATTTGCTTCACTTGTTGTGAGTGTTTAATTCTCCAGGCCTTATATGCTCCCAGAAATGTGTAATTGTAAAGTATCAGTTTCTTTGCAATTACTATTTTCATTAAAACTTCCTCCTTGTTCATGTTGTATGGAATTCTTTGTAGAAATACATCTATCATTAAGTATCTTGTTCATCTAGGAGATTGTACATCATTCACTGTCATATAGCAGTTCAGATTTTTCTCTGTTTATAAGAACAGTTTCCTATCCCTTAATACTTTGCTTAGTTTCTGAAAGATGTGTTACTATTCCTTTGTGCCTTCAGATTTCTGTGTCATATTTTCCATTGTCTGTTATTACACTCCCCTGATAGTTAAATTTCTGTAGCTGCTTGATTTTGATGTCCTCGATATATAATTCAGACTGTGGACCATCTTTTGCTGACAACCATGTATTCTTTGTACTCATAATTAATAGCTAGACCTTACTTCTTGCTTTCCATTATTATCTTGTTTTTCTTTTATTTATTTTTTTTGTTACTGTCACTAAGTGTGATACACATATTATGTTAGTACTATGAACACCAATAAATTGTAGATCTTTTAGTTCTGTTATGATTGTCTTGCTGTATACATTATTTATACAATTTCTAAAAACAAAATAATCTATATTCTAATTATATAAGCATAATAACTAATAAAATAAATGTCTAAAATAAAGCAAGCTTTAAATTTACAGAACTTTTATAATTATATATTCTTTGTAAACATATTCAACTTCTAAAGAAAAAATATCATTACGGTCACCATGTTTTGGAGTGTTTACAAATCTTAGCTTCATCTGGACATAAAGTCACAAATGCAATCTAGAAGGAGGCACACATTGAGGATCAAGTTCATTTCAATAATATTTGGTCAACCATTTTTTTCATTATAAAATTTTATTTTTAAAAACAAATTTTATACAAATCTTTATTAACAACAAAACTGAAGTATTTATTAAAACAAAATGTGTTTGAAAATTTAATAATTTGAAATTTTTTTTTTTTTTTTTTTTTAAATAGGACGTTTTTCTAGATTCTGATGAAAGTACTTTGCCAGCAACTTTGAGAAAGGAAATGGGCAGCAAATGTTTGTGCCAAAAACTAACAATGAAAACAGTTTGTATTCACAATTTTCTTTTTAAGCAAAATCTGTGCAAAAGGAGGATCAAAATGAGGCTGAAATTAGACAATCTTAAAAACTCAAATTTTGTAAAACTCAACCTGATTGGTTCATAAATCCTTCACATGTCTATAAAATTAATTTCCAAATAAATCTGTGTACAAGCCTGTGGAGCTTATCTTTTTTTCAATAAATTTTGACATGAAGCAACAATGTGAAGATATTGGTTAAAGATGCTTTGGAGTGACAAGAGATCAGCCATTTTAAGGAATGGTTTTGTTAAATCACCAGTCATCAACATTACAACTGATGACTAGTTCTGAAGAGTGTCTGTTCACCTATCTCCACTGTTCAACTCCTTCAATAACACTTCATTAATAAATATTTAGAAGAAACAGTTTCCAAAAAGTATAATTTTCTACTATTTCCCAGAAGATATTTCTAGAAAACAAAGACATGGCAGTTGAACAAAGCTTTGTTGCTGACTAATCCATTCAGAGAGAACAATTTGTGCAACCTTTATACAGTTTTAAAAATATCTCTTCCCCCACTGAAACAAGGTGAGTCCTTTCAATATTAAATGTATCTTTTTTTTTTTTTGCCTTAAAATCTTTCTATGTAAACTTTAGAAAAAAGCATGCTGGTGTAAAGGCAAATAAAAACCTACAAAACTAAAAATAAAAAGTGAAACTGATATTGTCTTGGTTTTTCTCTGAAATAAAACTATTGCTTAAAATTAGTACATGTTTATGATTTATGAATGGTTTTACATTCAAGTCATTGTGAAAAAAAATTTTGGAAAGAAAAATAAAACTTAAAAAATAGTTTTTAATTGATCTTATCTGCAATTTGAATACACAGATATTGCATTTTTTCTTTTTTTAAAAATGCATATAAATAATTTATTTTAAAGTAAAATTTATAACAAATTCTTATAACATAATTATATGTTTACTATTTCATATTTATCTTTTCCACAGCATTTTAAAGAAATATTAAACTTCAGTTTTAAATTTATATATTCACATTATTTCTTAGCATGGAATAAACTGGCGTGGTTATTTATTTCAGTTAACACCACAACAACCTCCAAGATATTACTTAATTTGATTTTGATTACATTTCCTCAAATAGAATCGAAATTTTAATGTAGAATATTTTGTGTGTGGTTTTATGATATGATGCTCCAACTATCTAGACTTATCCAATAGTCGGGTTTAAAAAAATCGACCTACCCTAATACACATGCAAAAGAACATAAATACTTTTTTTTTTTTTTTTTAGGTGTTTTATTTGAAGAAAATATCTTAAACAATAAAAAATTATGTGGCAAGATATATATATATATATATATATATATACACAAAAAGAAAAAAGAAAAGTAGATCTATACATTTTTAAATAACAGATTTTCTCCCAAAATTGTTTCTCTTCCAGGTGCAAATTTTTCATCTTTACAAAAAAATATTTAATAAATAATGGAGGTAAATTTTCAAATTTACATGGATTAATAACAGCATCTTTCAGTTTATTCTTCATTTAAGATAATTAGCATACTTGAATGTTAAAATTGTAACAACAACATAAGCACATTTTCAAAAGTTTTTCACACCTATTTCTCCCACATACCCCTGGTACAAATATTTCAGAATTTCTTGTATTTTGCACCAAATCTTTTACATTTTTCAATTGAATTTTTATATTTTGCACAAATCCATATATTTTTAAAATCTTTTATGCTATAACTAATATTGGGTAGGGGTGATATTTTATCAGTTTCTATTAATAACTAAAAAGAGTCAACTTAGTAAATAAATTATCAATTATTGAGACTTGTCTTCATTTAAAAGGAAACAAATTGTATTAAGTGAGTGTTCAAAGATATTATGTTCACCTGAGGTCAAATGGTGGTCAACATCAGACTATATCACCAAGGCTAGCTTCGAAATATATCCAATTAACCATAAACTCTTCCCACCTTTTTTTAACACATAACCATTCAAGTTCATGCCAGATATTAATTGCTTGTATATTTTAATATTTAGAATAGCTTTTATTGTTATATATTCTCTGGTAACTTTCAGAGAAACTGTAAGAAAGTCAAATGAATTACAGTTCATGATCTGAATGGCACAATATTTACAAAGTGAGGAGTTTAGTGTCATGCTACTACATCTCATGATTCAGCAAGGGAGTTGTCAGTTGTGAAGTTGCAAGTTAAATTGATGTCTAATTTTTTGGTATAAATTTCTTGGTATTTTTTTTTCTGTGTATATCCCCCCCCCCAATCTTCAAAAATCTCAGGGAAAGAATAAAGGGATATTTTTTTTTTATTCTTACTAGCCTAGAGGATAAAGAAAAGTAGATGTAAGCAATTTCTTTGTTCAGAGACTGAAGAAAGGTTGATGGGAAGTTAATAGTAAAGTGTATAGGGAGAGTCAAGTTCACTTAGGTTATGGGCTTGACCTGTCTTTAACTTATTCTCCAGATTCATGCTGAGCTCTTAAAATAAAATAATTTTTCTAGAAGTCATTAATCTAAATATGCCTTACCTTGCTCAACATTTTCACTTTTTTTTTGTATTTGTTTTTTTTTTTTTTTAAGAAAATACTTTTGCTAGCAGTAGTCAAAATAATTTAAGTAAAATTACATTTATAGGTACCTCTCCCCCCCAAAAAAAAGATATTTATATCTAAAATGCATTTTACAAAATTTAAAAATCTTTGAGGCTTAAATTTTAGTTTTAATTCTAAGCTAAGCCAAAATTTAATATTGCCAATAAACTTTTATTTCAAACCAAATTTAAGTTGATTGGAATCTTTTTCCTACTTATCCGTAAAAGTTATAAATTCATCCCTATTGAGAGATCTGTTAACACAATTCTCTTTATTTATAAAAAAAAAAAAACAAACTTAAAATAAAAAAATACTTTTCTGAAACTTTATTTGAAGAAAATTAACTGATTTAAACATTAATTTTAGTTTAAAATATTGCAGAAATTTTTTTTTTTTTTTATTACTCAAGGAGGGTGTTTTATAGCACGTTTAAAATACTGCGGGGGGGGGTCAAGGAATTGTAGTGAACTTTTCCATTTATAATTAGTAAATAGTTTTAATATAATCACTTGACCACTGCAAATTAATACCAAATTTAAAAGACAATGGTATCCATAATATAATTTATTCAAAGAAATTAAAAAATGGCTTAGTTTTATTGCATTTTTAATTTACCATTCAGGGCAGATTTTGTACAACTGAAAGTTATGTAAATTCTGAGGACTTTTTCCATAACATTACATACTACAAAAAAGAATTTTTCAATTTCATAAAAAAAATTAAGTGAGTGGGGCTAACAAATGTGTAAAAAAGATTTTCTAATAAAAAAAAATAATAATAATAAAAAAAATAAAAATAAAATAAAATAAAAGAAGTTTTTTTTAAAAACAAAAAACCCTTCATCTTTCCTCTTCAAGATCAGGAGAAATTTGTTTTTACTATGTTTGGGTTATTTTTTTATGATGCAGTCTCCTTTTTAGTGAATTTTTGAAAGTACTTACCATTTATAGATATTTACTTAACTGCAGATATGTCATAATATAATTGTAAGTGGAACTTGGAACTCCATATTTGTAGCCTTGTGCTAAAACAAAGCTATATTCAATTAATCAGTATTTACTAAGATTAGATTGGTGCATGTACCCAGTGAGGAACAAATTTGCCTTTCTAGTATGAATTATCTTAAAAATAGCCTGTTAACCATCACACTAAGGTAGCACACTTATATGCAGTGCAAAAACAGTGAGTCACAGTTTCCTGATTGGAAAAGTATGAACACATTTCTTGTTTATATTAATTTATATAACAAAAAGAGTGTATCACTTACAAAATATTTCATTATCTCATATTTTATGTGAACATTTTTTTTTTACTATACACAAATAAAGTGAAAAAAAAATCACTCCTAAGTGCCAAATAAACAGGTGAAGACTATTTCTTTTGAGAAAATTTTCCATCTCATTAATTTTGAACTTTATTTTTTACTTTCCAACCAACCTCAATTATTAAGACACCCTCCTTGCATTAGACATCCAATAGTACTATATATATATATATATATATATATATAGTACTTCATATTAATAAGGAGTTCATAAGAAAAAGTAAATACAAACTGATAAGAATCAAGTTCTTTATATCTTCAAAATTACTTTGCGTTGTTAAAAAAATTAAAAATAAAATAAAAACCTAATGCAATGAGACATTACATATACTGATCAATAATTACTTTTTCTTTGAATTAGCAGATACAGTGTATAAATAGAAAAGCAAAATAGAAAAGCAAAATAGAAAAGCAAAATAGAAAAGCAAAATAGAAAAGCAAAATAGAAAAAGCAAAATAGAAAAAGCAAAATAGAAAAGCAAAATAGAAAAGCAAAATAGAAAAGCAAAATAGAAAAGCAAAATAGAAAAGCAAAATAGAAAAGCAAAATAGAAAAGCAAAATAGAAAAGCAAAATAGAAAAGCAAAATAGAAAAGCAAAATAGAAAAGCAAAATTTTTATTACTAAATCAAAACAAAAAAAAATAAAAAAAGTGAAAATGAATATTTATCAATAGATGAGCTGCCATCAATGCAATTTTGCAATCTTTCATAAAAACTTTGTATAACATTTTGACACATTTCAAACATTACTGAACCAACTTCAAGAAACTATTTAAAATCAGTGTTTTGAGTGTTATAAACAGCATTCTTAATGTCTACAAAGAGTTTCAAGATATGATATCAAAGGACTTTGCTGCCAAAGATATTCAATTAGTTTTCAGCTGTAATGTTTTATCAATGTGGTAGTTTTATATGTGTGTCATTAAATTCACATCTGACCACACATGACATTTTGAAAAGGGCTATGAAATGTGAGTGGCCAATACTTAAGTGAACTCTTACAAACACCAAAAACTTATTTACTTAAGAGAGAAGATGAGTTCAGTCATAAAAAGACTAGGATAATTCATAGCTGTAGTGATATCAAAACTAGATAAAACAAAAATCAATCTTTCATTTGATTAATTTTTAACTAAAAACTGAACTTCACTCAAAATAAAATCCCGTATAAAATTTTATATTATTCAAAACAGATGATTCTATACTTACAACAGGGTCACATTCTGAGAAGTTATTAAGGAAAAAAAAAAAATAAAAATAAACCTATAATTTCTCCATTGTAATATCTTCTTTCTCCTCTCATCACAGGAAGGAGATGCATTTGAGTGTTTAACAGAAAGTAATATGCTTAAAAAACCTTAAAAAATTGATGCATGTTAAACTTTAGTAGATACTAATATTCAAGGATTTAAGAGATTGGAGGCTACCTTATCCCAGTATCAGTAGAAACATTAGAAATCGGTACTTAGTATTACTCAACTACAAAAGAAAAGTAAAAATTTAAAGCCTACTGAATGCTCATCACTACAGTGAATTGTAAAGTTGAAAAACTAAGCAAAGTAATTGTAAAGTGAGTATAGAACATCTGTACTAGTAATACTAATCAATTCTAGAGAAAAAAGAATATCTGCCTAGAATACTGACAAAAAAGGATTTTCTTACAATAAAAAATGAATTTGGAGTGATTACAGAAATATTTTAGTCCGAGACAACATTTGGTATTCTTAGTGAATATCAAGGTTGCATTGATGAAAACTATCAGCTTGGCCCAATTTTGTACAGATTTGGATTTGAAAACAGCACACAATAGCATACTAACAATGTATGATGAACAGGTAAACAATCATACATACAACAAATGGCAAACATTTTATTTGAAAAATCTATAGCCCGGGATGAGATTGTGTAACAGTATTGGGTTTTCTTTGTCTGCTTTCAGATTTCTATTGATCTCTAACAAGCTTATTTAATTTAAAGAATAGGAACAAAAATAAAATATAATAGTTTTTTTTTTGTTTTACTATTAAATCTACATAATTGAAAATCCAGACTACTGTCCAACTGGAAATTTAATGTTATTTCAGCTTTAAGGCCTTATCACAATTTTATATAATTTTTAAGGCATGAAATGATACAGTCACAAGATTTCATTGGTTAGTGAATTTTTATATATCCAAGAAGTTACTTTTCTGACATTTATATCATGTAAGTGTCAAACAGTATTTCAAATACAAGATTCTTGTTATATTGTCTACAAACAAAATATAGGATTTGATTCCCATCCACAAGATAAAGAGGACTGAATAAATGTGTCATACAAATCTAGTTCAAGGAACTCAGCCTTATTAAAGACAGTTTTCATATTACAGATTCATATAAAATACAGCCTATACAAAAAACAAGAATACAAAATTCCATTGCTTACCCTGCAGATAGTCAGCTAAGTCGCCCCCATTGCAGTATTCCATGACAAGGTAAACATTATTTGTTGTTTCCTAGAGAACAAAAAAAAAAAAAAAAGAGAAAAGAAAATTATGTACATAGTTCTTGTAACATTATTTTCACATGTGTATAACTGTGTTCAGGTACTTAAAAATAAGGACATATGGACAATGTTTCCAGTTAATGAACAAAGTAGTTTACTATTAAATTAAAAAATAGTTTAAAAAAACTATAATCTGTTAGTTCCCAGGACATTTATTAAATTATGAATTATTGGTTGAGTGAGTTTAAAACTCCATTCCACTAAAATAATTCACAACAATTTGCATATTTTTAAATTCTCATCTATTTCTATAAATGTGAGCCTATACAATTGATAAAAGAAGCATTCGAGACATGCTTAACATACAAAAAGTAATAAGAAACATTTAACAAAAATGTAAACTTTCTGATTATAAAGTAGCTGCCAGATATCTCAAAAGAATAAATATAAAATTGCTAAAAAGCAAGCATGCACTAAATATCAAGTAAACAAATTCAAAAAGGAATAACAGAGCTAAATAGAAAGTTACAAAAGCTGGTTGTCTGTCTCAAACAGAAGTAAAAAAAAAAAAAAAAAAGCAGCATAATGTTTTACAAACTTCTGACATCAAGCAAACTTTAGCCATTATTTACTCCAGTATTGTAATTTTTGGGACAAAAATAACCAACATATGAATTAATTAACCAGTTTTCATGAGTTGATAAACTTTTTCCTTTTCAAGATTATTTTTTTTCTGGAAGTATGAATTAATAATACAAAGTATAATTAAACTCTCTATCTGTATACTAGAATATTTGAGGTTCATTTTCATAATGTTTGATATAGCATTGAGAATATTATAAGTAATTTATATTAGAAATTTTATTATATGTGTGTGTGTGTGTGTGTGTGTGTGTGTGTGTGTGTGTGTGTGTGTGTGTGAGAGAGAGAGAGAGAGAGAGAGAGTGAGACAGGCATTTCATATTAATAGTAATGGTAAGCAATTCAGCATTTTTTTTTTTTTTAATAGGTTTTCCCTTGCCTCTCTAAAATTGCAACCAGAATTGAAAATGAGCAAAACTAAAAATTTGCAGCTGTAAGGAAGAAAAAAAAGTCAAGGCAAGTGTGAGACTTACTGACTGGTGAGTTAATCATAAAAGTGGGGGTGAGGCTACAAGAATTTAACTGGCACATATAGTCATTAGATAAATGTGTGTGTGTGTGGGGGATCACCAATTGTTACAGGAAACTAATTATCCTAAAATTAACTTAAACTGCTTATGGTCAATGACCTGATTTTGAGAGGATAAAATATCCTACAAAAGAACACTGCTGTATAGTTTGGTTGCCTTAGAAATTTTAAGGATGATCCAAATTAAACCTTTAAAAGTTTCTATATTGGAAGGAAGGAGAAATGTCCAACTTCTCTACTGTATCCATTAAAATTCTTTTAAAAGTTATTAAAATTTGATTTAAACAGTTATCAACTAAATTCATTACCATAATATTTCAAAAGAAAGATAGCTATTAAAATTTGGTGCTTTTAAAGATTTGATAACAGTTTATTCCACACTATCATTACTTCTGTCATCTATTTCTATGGCTTATTCAGGTAAACTTAATATTGAGCAAGGTAATTTCTAGAAGAAACATTTTCATAGTATACAAATCCTATCTCTTTCTTTGTAAATGAATACAACAGTAAAATTACACAGCATTTAATTTTCTTTAAGATCAGATATTGAATGTAACTAGCACAGGAATATAGTAGATGTAAAGTTCTTATTTATATGATTTGTTAAGTTCTTGTATATGAGGATAAAAATTGGATGGAGTTGTACAATAGTCATTGTAACCAGAAATCTTTTTTTTTTTTTTTCATGATACTCCAGATTAAACACTCCAGATCATGAATATTAAAAATTAAAAAAAAAGTTTTATAAAAGTTAAAGGAGGAGAATGTCAAGCTATGTAAATTCATTGTAAATCCCCCCCATTCCAGAAGCCAAATCAAATATGCTTATACAACATAATTTCTGATAACCTAAAAAATGTTTTTTTAAATTTGTAATCTGAGTCATTAATTTAAGACATTTTAAATTAAAAATTTGTGTATAAGATTTTACAACGAGAGTTTATAGTTTATCAAAAGTAATGACAGCTAAAAATCATGAGTGTTCAGACTAGTGAAGTTGATTTAGTAAAATAAAATCTGATTTGACAAGAAATATCTCTGATAATGAGTCAACCACCATTGTTTGCAAGATGCCTTGTAAATGACTGAAGGAGAGGAGGTGTTCCTCTAATACTGCCAATAGAGAAATCAATAAATCTATTCAGTGCAAATTACCAAACATTTTAGAGTCATATTGCAAGTAATAAAATGCAATATACAGAGTTAAAAAATCATTTTACACACAAGATTAGAAACATACATTCAGGGAAGGACTAGATATACAGATTCAATTTGAACCTAACAATGGTAACATTAGCAAAACAAAATGGTTGTTCTAAATATTGGATTAATAAAGTTAATCAATTTGCTACAAAAGGGCAAATGTAACAATATTTTTTCTTCATCCATACTAGTTGCATTAAACATTTCTGAAATCCTTAAGTAGTCACAGCAATACTTGATTTCTTACATGACTAGGAATCATGTAAGGAAAGTTGTAGTGGGACTCCAAATTAAATTGACTGATATGTTAACATAAGATATTGCAAAATTTTAATAGTTTCAAATTATAGTTTTAATTCAGAAATTATACCGATTTAACTATCTTAAAATGCAAGGCTCCTCTATGCGTTTTATGATCCACAAAAATACAAATATTCAAGTGTAGATAAGAGTAGAACAAGAATTGAGTTGATTATTTTAGCAAAGAGTTAACATTTAATAGAATTTTGATTTTACTTTGTTGCTATTACTAAACTCATAGAAGGTAAAAAGTTAAAGACTGAAGTTTTATATGGAAAAAGTTTAGAACACATAAAAGATAAAAAATGAGTTTAGATAGATCTACAAAGGAAAGCATCCTATTCAAAGACTATTCAAGCAAAGATGAGGAGACAAAGTGAAACAAAGAGACAAAATAAGTCTTAGGCAGTTAAAGACAAATTAATCACATTTTCAGACTAAAAACAGAAAAAGGTCCAGTGAGGTCCAGATCTGATGTTGTAAGTACCACTAAAATGTAGCCTGACAGTTTATGAAAAAGATATGTAAAATGTGGTTTTCAAATTTAAAAAAAAAAAGGCTCAAGTCTTATGGTCTCAAAACCCACCTAAATAAAGTTTGCAAAGAGATATTGTTTAAGAGATCATTCAGTAATTTTTCTTTAACCCATAAATAAATTACAAACCCATGGTAATAAATTTCTGATTCAACTGAGAGCTGATTTGTAGCTATTTAAGTCTGGCCTGTCAGACCAACAGAAGGGACTTGGCAATTACATGCAAAGGAGGTTGGCTGGCTGATGGGAGGCAGAAAGCACAACCACAAAAAAGGGAGAAAGACTAAAGAAAAACTAAAAAAAAAAAAAGCCAAACACGCCACTACACACACACACAAAAACATAACAAAAAGAAAAAGAAAACTAAAAGATTCATGAAAGAGGTATAAACTTAAAAAAAAAAAAAAAAAAAAAACGTTTATCTCAATATAAATATAGCTCATTTTAAAAAACTGAACTATTGTTTAAATTACCCAGCAATGCTTTTGAATTGAATTTGCAATCCTTCTCAAAGATTTTACCTAGGTTAAATATATGAAAATAAGTGAATATTTTTCTGAAAAAACTATAATTGTTTTTTTTACCTTACATGATCCAAAGAAATTATTTTAGAACTTGTCTAATGATAAGGCACACTTGTGCAGACTTGTATTTTAAATTTGTACTTAGTCTTAATGGGTTTTTTGTGCCATTTAATAAATTAAATTTCTTTCCAATTTTACAGAGTAAAAGTCTTGTTTTCATTTGCACCTTTCACAATACTTGGGATAAGAGATGAGGGGTTTGTTCTCTCCCCATAAAATTATTTTAAAATAAATATAGAAATATTTTAAATTTGACTATCAATTTCAATAAGTATTAGTTGTGGAAAAAAAAAAAAAAAAACCTTGCTCCTGTTAATGAGCAAATAAAAAAAATCCTATCTTCTGATAACAGAACAGATTGTAAAATCTTTACTCCCTCTTAACTCTTATCTTCAATATTTCTATTTGATATTAAAGTGCTTCAGAAAGAAATCTCAGTAAATAACTCCAAAATTACCTTAAATTTTTTAAAGTTTCAGTAGATCAGGATTAGTTTAAGAAAGGTTACTTAAAGTTTAATGTGTGTTCAAGTAGGCATCATTTCACTGAACATCAAGATTGTAATCAAAACTGGTGGCTTTTTGATTGCTTTGAGTAAACTGTTGATTTTCTGACTCAACAGTGATAACAATAGAGGAAATGAAAAACTGATTTTTCATTGTAAATATAGATTGGTATAAAAACATACTTTCAGCATACAGGTAGAAATAATTACAATGGTTTTGTTAACAGAGAATATGAAAAGGCATATTTGCATGTGTAAGTGCTTGCAGTTACATCATGCAGTTTTTGTAATGGGCTGATGATCATTTGTTTATTCTTTCCTGAATTTTGTACTTATAGTTCTTAATATTTTTGGCATTCTATGCTCTGATTGGTTATTTTAAATTTTGAAATTTTATTAAAAAAACTAATTCAATGGTTTATTTTTAAAGTCTTATAAACTGTATTACCTTGTAAATTAAAATTTTTTAATATTCAAATTGGTGCAACTTTACCATAAACGTTTTATTTTCTATTTATTTTGACAATTTAACATAACTAGCAATATGGCAACTACAAAAGTGGCTACTTTAGAAGTGTTAGTAATAAAAATCCTTACTTTCTCCAGGTCACTATCTTACATAAAGACAACTGTTTTGTTGGAAAATTTTTTCTTTGTGCTAATTTTTATTCGCTTCTAGTGCAAGTTATTTGTGCACAGAGTTTTCATTTACTGTTACAGAACAAATAAAAAATATAAAAACAAAACAAGGCACAATATTCTTTAACAGTATACATGTACACTATGACAAACAAGCATTCCTTGATGAGAAACAGGACATTTCAATAATTTATAGTGCTCAAGTTGAAGTAAAATTTTAATTTGTCCATATAAACTTGGTATTAATATTATCAGGAAATATTTGTTCAATAAATGACTTTATAGGGGCCTCATTAAAGTGCTTCCAAGGGTTTCCTAATTCAACCCACCCAAATCTAAACTTTATTCTAGGTAAGTGTTAGAATTGGAGATTTGTGCGATTCAAAAAAAATATTAAATTTAATTATTACATTGTCTTATATAACTACTTGGTGAAATTTTTAGTCACCAATTTTTGTATCAACTGAGAACTGAGGAAGCAATAGATATGCATTTGTAACGACAGAGAATAGTGATTAACCTGAGCTGTTTTGTGTACTACAAAAGGGCAATATATAAGGACTCTTTTGGTGTTATAATAGCCATTTTATGGTCCTGTGCAATCTCTTAACCAAATTATTGCACTGAGGGTGGTAGACTGTAACCTGCAAAAGCCAATTAGCTTTAACAATTCAGAGAACAGTTTGCTTTCAGATTGTGCACCTTTTTATTATGACATGTAGCAGAATGCCAAACCATGTGATCTATGTACTTGCAAAGTTTTCAACCACTAGACACTGCTGTTGATTCAATTCATTGTGTCAAACAGTCAAATGCATATCAGTAGGTAAAGGCTGACATAATGTACAAAACTTTAATAGTTTTGTCTGTCCTTGGTCAGTAGTATCTAGATTTTATCTTTGATAAATAGTTTAAATACCTAGGCATAATAGTAAATGTATAACTCTTAAATAAGGAGATATAGAACTTATTTTGAATTAAATGCCTAGAGTAAGATGCAGATACATTATACAATGGTTATTTCCTGACATGAAAAGTTTTTAGATTGTCTGATGCTTGTGCTTCAGCAAGTACTAGTACATTAGATGCATCTATCTGTACAGTGAGAGTTGAAGGCGACATGCAATCAGCAACTGTTTTCAATGCCTTTTGTATGACCTATATTTGAGATTCTGTAAGAATTACAAACTGCCTTTATTGTCCGTCTGATTTGGCTGGATTTATGCTGTGAATGGTACAGTATAAAAGCTCATAATCAGCCAGTACCTATGAGGTGGTGGAAATGTAGCACTACCAAATAAGCCACTAATAGCTCTTAGTCAAAAAGTTGAGTATCTATTATGAGTGTGTCATTATTTTTGACAAATCCGATAGGTATTGGTTTTCCATTAACAACCTGATGTAGTGCTGCACCTATAGCATAATTACTACTATCAGTGGCTAATTGATAGACAAAGGTGTGCTAGTACAGATAGCTGTTCTTTTGAAGTATTAACACTCGTTTTTCTAATTCAATGAAACAAAAGAATCCTTTGGAAACCCTTTGTATATTTGACCAAGAACAAAGAAACACTGAAAAATATTACCTTGCAATCCAACAAAGCCACAACATTTTCATGATGTAAGTCTGACAGTTCCTGAAAAAGGTAGAAGGTAAAAATATTAATCATAGAATTAAGAACTTTGGGTAAGAAAGGGGGGGGCTTTGGAAATAATTTAAAGTTAAAAGTAACTAAAAAGCCTTGAAAAGATGCTTCAAATAAAGGCTCACCTGAATAGTAAAACATGTTTTAATTACATTTTACAGAAATTAATAAAAGATTACTTAGTATACTAACATTTTAATTTTTTTTTTAATACCCAGTGACCAATGCCAATGCTAACCACAAATCTTTACTAAAAAACAATCATCTTTCAAAGAGTTTATGCTTAATGAGTTGAATATCAAATTTACATTATTATTGCAAGTCATATTACAAACATAAGGAAAAGCAATTTACAGAGATCACATGTATATCAACATTTTCTCTAGTAATATTTTTAACAGTATGAAATTAGGAATGAATTTGTTCTAATTTTGCTTAGATATACAGTCCCAAAACATCAAATAAACAAATAAAGTAGTAGTGTAATGCATTAACAAGAGATAAAACAATTATTCTTTTACTGTTTCTTGTGCATCGGTAAAAAAAAAAAAAAATCCAAGTTTACAGCAGCAAAGTTTCAATCTGTATCAAATGAGGGCAAGTCAAATTATTAGTTTACATTTTAACTTACAAGTTAAAGTTTTAGAATAGAAAACTGCATATATTCCTAAATACTCGTATCAAACTTGTAAAAAGTAGACAATACTTAAAATAACTCAGAATTATATTTCAAGTGAATCAAACTATTTAAAAATTAGATTCCTTTAAGTAACATTTAAAATAATCTGTAACAATATTTACTTTTCAATGTTTAAGCTATCATTAAAATTAAACTTCATCAATAATTTGGCAACTTAATATTTCATACATGCTACATAATGAAATTAATCTCAGTGAAGACATTCATATTTACAAATTTATTATCTGCAAAACAATAACTGGCACATTTAAGTTTTTAATGAATCATTATGAACATCAATTTGTGAAAAGAAAATGCTGTTGATATTGTAAAAGTTGCTAAATTTGGCAAACAAAATAAAGTCATAATTAGAAGGGAATTTTGCAGAAGAAATTTAATAAAATCAATTTCAACAAAGACTATTTCATTTAGCTTAGTGTTAGGCATTAAATAGAAGGTAGTTGTTAGAAAAAAAAAAATTAAACTAGTCTAACATTCAGATCAGGGAAGAAAAAATTGCAAAATTCTCCCCACCTTAAATGATATGTGAATGTACAGGCAGGTTTTCTTAATATTTAATTGATGAGGAACTAAAGAAAATTTTATTATTCAATTAAATGTTTTCACAATTGTTATTAATCAATAATGTTGGTAATATTTTGGGGTTATATTTGATAAGCATATCTGGTAAATTACAGCTTATATTTGTTTTTTATTGGAAATATTTGCAATAACTTATTTTATAGTAGTTTGTTATTTGAGCTTAGTTTTGGCACAAGGTTACAGATACAGGGCACTCAGTGAGGATCAAAGTAACTACTTAGTAGTAATGGTCAATCAAACTAGCTTACTAACCATTATCCAATGTTAGTGTTTTCAAGCAAATTGATAAGATTTGTAAGAGAAGGAGAAGCAAAGCATTTTAACATTGAGTGATGGAAAAACAACACTGTGAAAAAGAGATCAGAGAAAAAAAAAAAAAACAAAGAAAAACATGGCAAGATAAGGAACAGGAGAGGGAATCTACCTTTAAGAATGTCACAAAAAAGTGAACTGAAAAAAATGGAAAGGATAACAAGTGGATTGACCAGTAAGAAAATATCCAAAGATGGTGAGGGTTACAAATATAAATAGAAAAGAGATGCAGAATATTAAGAACATTGGTAAAAGACAAAGTTACCACAACAAAAAAAAATGGGGACCCTGGCTGAGTTTGTCAACAGCACAAACAAAATAAGATTGCAAACTTAAATTTTTTTTTTATTACATACTGAATTCTCAACTTGTATGAATTGTTTTGTTTTTAACTTGCATTTCTTCTATATTAATTTTAGTTGCTTTCCATTGTAACTACTTCAAACAGTAGAGAAGCTGTCATGGTATTAAATTAAAAAAAATCTCATCCTCAAAGAGACCTTTATTTCTGACTTACACTTTACTATCAGCCATAGAATATCAGGCTGAGTAATTGTTATTGAAAGCATCTGAATTAAAAAAAAAAAATAGTCAAAGATTAACATTGCAAACCATAAGTTTTTAAACCAGATTTTTTAAAGCATACACAACTGATATTGAAAATTTTTATACAGTAGAGAAATATACCATATCTTTATAAATAGGTAATTATACTTATTGGAATTGGATAGAAACAGATGAAGATGTCAAGACAGATTGGTAATTAAAATCTGATCTTGAAAAATTATATTTATCTACAAAAAAAAGAATCAACATTTTCATTTGCATACAATCTGCTTTTTATAAATTATTTATGGTTAATTAAAATAGAATATTTTTATTCTAGGCATTATTAATCCATCTGATAACAAAAATTATATAGATGATTATATATGTAGAAAAATTAAAATGCATAAAGTAAATATTTTTCTTGATGTTAACCATTTTTATATATTGCAAAACATTTAATATCAGGTTCAAATTAAATATTTGTGAGTTATTCCACTTGGCTTTACCAAAATGCCTGTTAGTGGGGCACTCACTAAGCCTATAAAAAAGTAACCCTATTCTCTCTAACTCTTGCTTCCAGATATAGTGGATGTTAATAAAGAACACTGCTGACTAGGTGCATTCACTTGGTTCTCTGTTAATTTTTGAACTCGCTCTCTCTCACACACACACACTTCTTATAACTAGTTTTAATGTTTTTTTTCCTTTCATTACAATTGTGTACACATGTAATTTCTTTTGTCAATAACATGCATTTTCATGGTCTTGTTTGTATTATTTTTACCTGGACTCACATGAGTTTGCCAATATTCTTTGTGGGATAAATGTTCTAGAAGAACACAAATATTTAATATAAAATGTCAATACACATCACAACCAAAGTGGCTATACCAACAACATAATTGGAACTTATTTTTACCCAAACATACTAGTATCCTGCAATGTATTAAAATGAGATCCAGTTAAAAAGGTAAGTAAAAATTTAACAAAACTGTTTAGCAAATAATGGCATAAAAATAAACCTGATAGTTAAAGCAGGCATTTGTTTAATTTTTATATATAAAATTAAAATATTCAGCAAATCAATATTTTTCAATAGAAACACGAGATAGAACTTAAATAGCTGATGTTTATTTTTTTTCTTTACTACTGACTGATGAATGATATTAGACTCCATTATTGAAACAAGAAAATTATCTAACACAAAATTACCCTCATTTTTTTTTTTTTTTAAATATTCATTTTTCCATTGTATCTAAAATATCTAACAACATGATTGATTTGCCAAAATAAACAAAGGTAATTGAAGTAAATTATCCTTTGAACAATTCCGATTACAAGGGTGGATCAGTATGTCCACAGATTGACACGTAGCTATTAGCTGAATTTTTACTGTATAATTTTCAATCTGATTAATAGTCACTATCGAATTAAGTGTATTGGCCAGGAAGGAGACTATGTTGAAAAGAATATTTGTAAAAATCAAATGAGAAGTAAAATAATGTAATGAAAGTTAAGAGCAGATGGTAAAGAATAACTATTAACAACTTTGATTCATTGAATCTGAACCAATAATTTTGCAAGCAACAAAAGAATTTATAAGCAGTTATGAGCAGTACTTATTCATTTACAATGAATATTCTTAATAAATATAATTCTGACTTGTATTTATGTAAAAAGATTCTCCTTAATTTCTTTTTCAAATTAAGACAAGACAAAGGGCACTTGTTTTTCATATTAGTAAACAAAAATATGATATCAAAGACATTCAGGTGAATCGAAAGTTATATTAGACAATAAGTATCAAGCTGAATCAAAAATCAACCAAAATTTAATAAAAATTTTAAAAGAAAAGAAAAATTTAAAAAAAAAAAAAAAAAAATAAAAAATAAAAATAAAATAAATGTATAAAGTATACTTATGCTAAAGCATTCAAAATTTTTTTTTTTTTATCGACTTGACCAGAAATTAAGAAAATCAAATTCACCTCAACAATCTTTATAAAAACAAAACAAGGCACAATATTCTTTAACAGCATACATGTACACTATGAAAAACAAGCATTCCTTGATGAGAAACAGGACATTTCAATAATTTATAGTGGTAAAAAAAAAAAAAAAAAAGTTTCAAAACATACTGGAAAATGGATTTTTTTTAAAGGAAACATTCCTGCTTTTGTCAATATTAAACAATTCCATCTCACCTGACATGAGATCATTGGTGTTCCATGCTGTATAACTTATTTTCTCATTGCAAAAGGAATTACTTATCAATGTCTATCTTATGTGTTACATGGCGCCAGTAGCAAGGAATAATCCCTAATCAGTTATTCTTAGAAAAGAATGTGAAGCAGCCCTTTGTTGCCACCTTCAACATTAAATTCAGAATTGTCCTTCTTAGACAAGTTGTCACCCAGTGCTAGTCAGCCCAGTCTATACTGCTATTTAACCTATAGCTGAGGGAAGAAGAGATGGATTTATGCTGTTCCTGAAAGCATTAGTGTGAATGCAACAGACTGTCAGAATTAGGACCTGGTTTGACAATTAAAAATTTATGAAACCTCACAAGTTAAATACTTGCTAATCTAATATATCAAAAGATAACATCTCACTAGAAAGAAAAAAAATACAGAAATAGAATGTAAGTTTGTATGATGCTAGAGGCCAGAATAGTCTTTCTTCAATTATAAGAACATATGCACTCAGTTCAGTAGACGGATTAAGGAAAGCAGGCAATAATTGTAAATTACAAAAAGCAAAGTAGAATTATGAATTTGTTAGGTGATCAAGTATAACAAAGTGAATCTTAGCCATAAAAAACAATTATGTCTACCTTCGGGAAAACAAAATAACACATTTAAGAACTGATAACATAAGTGGAAAAGAGAAAAGAAAAAAAAAACTAAAGTCTAGATTAACCAGTTAATCTAAACTTTAATTTTAATTTTTTTTTTTTTAGCCCAAAATTGAAAATTTAACCAATTTTCAATTTGTGAGAATATTTCAGTCTCAGACTTATTTTAATTAGGTTCCTTAATAATTAAAACATTTTCCTACTTCTGTTACATAGCTAATAAGTTTTTTTTTTTTTTTTGTGACATCTGATAAACAATTTAAACTGTTTGCACTCCATCCATTTGCTATAAATGTTGATAAATAGTGTATCATAATTTTTTAATTTTATTTTTTTTGCAGCTGGAGGTTTTGCCCCAGAAAGTACACTGCACTCAACTCTTGATGGTATTAATTGTGATCTTAAAATTTCCTGATATTTTCATGCAAGTTTTGCATGAATATTTGCCTCTATTTTAGTGACCAATTAGTGAAAAGAAGACACTGCACACTGTCTGGAGCTGTACATTGTCTTGAAAACAAAAGGTTGGTGAAAAAGGAATTATCAGAAATAAAGCACAAGAGGAACTGACAAAATAGTTATATGCATAATTTATTTTTGCTCATATTATTGGAGATGAGAAAAAAAAAACAAAAAAAAACTGTCATTCTACTTGTAGAATCTTTGGTGAGTTAGCCTAAATTTAAAGCCAAGAGATACTGCACACATTTTATTGTCGTGTGTGTGTGTGTATATTATACACAACTAAATAAATTCATAGACCACTTATGAAAATACATTTGATTTACAAATATTTTACAATATTCTCTTGTCATTAATCTTAATTCACTGCTTAATATTAACTAGATTGTACAGAAAAAAAATTTACATCAAAATTTAGCTACAGAAAGACTTCACTCTTATGCCAATACAATCTGTTTTCAAAGGAAAAATTTTTAAATTAGGTATCTTATTGTCTACTTATCCCTTTAGTTATTAAACAAGGTTTCTTACACTGCACATAGTATAAACAAAAAAAAATGTTATAAAGAAAATAATTTTTGACCTGTAGAAATTAATTAGAAGTCTCATGGCATAGTGGATTAAAATGTTATTTAAACATATGGTTTCTTGGTAGTCATGAGTTCAATTCCTGAGTTGAGAGTGTGGAAAGTCATACTCTGGTCCAATAGAAGAAATAGACACATGATACAAAGTCAAATAGACTTGTGAGAATTAATTGATAAAAGATATTACCTAAATATGGAAAAAAGAATGAAAATTGTATAAAGGGTTCAATTCAAATTTCTAAACAGGATTCAGAGTACCCAAAGAAGATCCAAAGAGTATAATAGCTAAAAATGAACAGTGATCTGAATAAAAAGGCATACAAGATATAAAGAAATTAGAATTTAATCTGAACAGTTTACCTTGAGAATTTTTATTTCTTTGCTTAAGAGGCTCTGTGACTTCCCCAAATTCTTTTTAGTAATGCTTTTAATGGCTACAGTTGTACCTGGGCGCTGCAAAAGAAAATAAAAGTTTTAGAACATTCCTGATGCCATTTGAGGCTCATATACAAAAAGGTGTCAATATTTGGCTATAAATACATAAGAAAAAAAAAGTACAATTCTTTCTGAATTTAACACAAAAATATTTTTCTTGGTTTTATCAGAACTATAGACAATAGACTCAAGAAATGAAAGCAAAGTAACATGAATCACACAAAGAAAATCATAAAGCCAGTTTGAATGATTCATTATATATATATTATAGTAGCAACAAAATTTACAAGCATGCAGTTAAAAATAAAAGAAAAATTCATTCAGACAACTATAACAGATAAAGAAAATTCCACAACAGGAGCTTGTAAACAAAATTTTTTCCAAGACATTAAAGTCGGATATAACCAATTGATATTAGATTGTGTAAAGCTTACTCAATATCTATATCAATTCAAGGAATCTGCCAATATAGTCTATATTTGAGCTTATAGAAAAATACAATATATTTGAAGAAAAAAAAAAACAAAAAAAAAAAAACTGATGAATATGCAAAAATTGGCAAAATGCTGTTTTAATTTAATATTCTTGCCAAAGTTTCCCAGCCATTCAATGCCAGGAAAAATAATATTGAAGCCTGCTTTCCAAGGATTAATTTTCCAAGCAAAACCTGAAAGGCTGAAAGAGAAACATAATGTTTGTGGCTATTTTTATAGCATGTCCCTTCAGGTTGTAGAGATTTAAACTCTTTAACAGAAAAGATATGCCAGAACAAAAAACAAAGTTTTGTAATAAATTTTTCTTTAGAAGTGAACATTAGCAATAGTAATCTTTATTCAAATACCTTAAAAATAATTATTATTATTAAACTAAATGTCATGAGCAGTTAAAACCACCTTTGATCTAAATAAAATTAAAAAAAATAAACTATTATTATTCATTGCCATCTTTAATGTTTTTTTAGTTAGACTAAGTGTGAGTATAAAACGTTATAGTGGATACCTGTATTTGATTAGACGCCCCGTTTAAGCAGTATTATATTTCGTCTACCGGCCTACACATTCGAGAAAACGTAAAGAAAATGCGCACAGGTAAATAAATAAAAACCTGGTTGAATGTGAAGTTCTTCATAGAGTAGTTAAAGCAGGTCGGATTATAAATAGTGGTTTCTCCTGCAAAGGGGGAGGCAGGTTCAAATCAAATTCTGTCGGAGGATGCATTTTTCAAGGTTTCTCGATCGGTAAATTAAGAAATATAACAGCACTGTTTCAAATAAAAAACTAAACAGGACGACTATTCAAATACGGGTAGCCACTAAAAATAATCGAACGTTTAAAAGATAATATGACGGATTAGAAAATTAAAAATCTTTTTTTTTTTTTTACACACAGACTTGAAAACACCTATTTTATCTGCTTCTTGTGTGAGATTCAACATTTTATTTTTTATGATATATATTCGGACATAATCTATCAATTGTAAAGATAATTTATGCTAAATGAAATTGAAATAATAGAATCATTTCCTTTCCCGTTGAAACGAAATGAAAGAGTTTATTACTCAACTTAATAAATCATCCACTAAGCTTTCAAACATTTATCGCGTGAACTAAAAAGTATTTTTTAATAATGCCATTATTAAGGATTAGGTTTCACAAGTGACTACAGTCACTACAGTGGAACTCGCTCAGGAAGCGAGTTGTAAATGTATTGTAAGCTGAAAATGTTTAACAAGACATTGTTTGTTGTCCACTAAAAACGTGTGAAGTCCATTCCGATCAATCATGCATTTTATTGGCATGGTTGACTAAATTATAAATATTCAAAGCTTCTACCCTTACCCTCCCTCTCCTTCACCTCGTAGTTGCCACCTAACTTGTTCAGAGATAAATGATGTTAAAAAAAAAAAATAAGTAAAATAATTGCATGCCTCTCCAAAAAATAAATAAATAAATAAAAGAATCAAGCAAACCAGTCTGCGTTCCCGTTCACTAAATGCTCTTCTTGAGAAACAAACATCACTTTAAAAATAAAGTATGTATTCCCTGCGACTGGCATCATAACCCAGTCGGAATCCCAAATCAGTACAACTGCCAAATAACCCCATATTACCCACAGGAAAGAAAGGTTAGACTTTATAGATTTAGTGTAGGATTTTGCTACAAACAGTGAATTTGGCTGGATTTGAAAGTCCACTGCTACTCAATTTTGAGTTGTCTTTCTTCGCATGAACAGCTCATAGTAAAGCAAATTTCAAAATTTAGTTTTAGTAGCATGGACTTTCAAAAATAGAGACCAATTTAGCAGACCTGCGAAAGAGAGCCAACACTCCGACAATAGGTTAATTTAATCATTAAAAAATAGAATTTTATTTTAAATATTTAACATTTTATTTTTACATATTCGACCAAATTAGATTTTTATTTCAATTCTTAAAAAAAGAAAAAATGACAGTAGTAGTAAAAATTACCATTAAATTAGAAAAAAAAAAGAAAGCAAATAAATAACCGATAGCAAAATACCATACAAAATTTCGTATCTTTCGTGTTTGTAAAAAAAAAAAAAATCCAATAATCCAGCAGCAGGTGTTTCAAGTTTTCACACAAAAGTATAAAAAAAGAAAAAAGGTGAATAAAATCGTTCTATTCTAATATTAAATTCGAAATAAATTTAATATAATTTTGTTGCGCCCACACCAGAACCAAAATATCAGCTGTTTTTGTTTGTAAAATAATGCACTCTTTGGGACAAGAAATCGCATTCACCTTTTTTATTATACTCGTAATTTTTTAAGTAGTAGGATACGAAATAAAATACGGAATTACCAGCTACATACAATAATTTGTATGACAAAAAAAAACAAATTAGTTCAAGATCAGTGAATAAAGATGCATTCTGAATTCGTAGTTGAATACTCTGGCTGGATAGAATGGTTCAGTTTAAAAACCTAAGACAAATCCCATACTTCACAAAATTATACATATTGTTCAGTAAACTTTTCATAGAAGAAATAAAAAACACACACACCTCAAAACTAAAAAAAAAGTAACGTTTGAGATGTTTTTTAGCCAGTGATTGAATGAATGAAAATGAATCATCACTGAGTGAAATGTCGATTAAATGGAATGGAGAAAAATGTATGTGCATCCTGCTGATGCTGCAACGTAATAATTTTAAGAAGACTAGGTAGAAAAAAAAATCCTTTCAATTAGCTTAGCACGAAAAATAGCGAAGGAATTCGCATCTTATTTAAAATTTAAAAATGTATCGTAAGAAAAAAATATGCATTTAAAAATTACTGTTACCCTTCAAGTGCAGAAAATCCATGGGGTGGGATTCTACTTTTTGAAAAGTCACTAAACGGAATATCAGCTGATTATTTGGTTGGAGTCAGAATCATTTTCAAAATATTTGATTGATTAAATTACAAAATAATTCTAAACTTGAACATTGATTACCACACTCACAGAAAAATAAAAACAAAATAATCGTTCCCTTAAACATGGAATCCATTTCTAATGATTTTCGATAAGGCGGAGGTGAAAATCTAGGTAATTTAAATAAATAAATAAATAAGACTAAAAGGGACAAAATTCAAATTAAGTGATAATAAAAAACAGAAACTAAAAAGTTTTAGTGAAAGTAGCAATGGAAAATGAAAGCCAGCAGCATCATGTTTGTATTCATAGTAATTTACTTTTTAGTAGTACCATAATTCTTCAGGTTTCTCTATGCAACATAGGATGGTCAGATGATCAACAAGATCATGTTTGTAGAGTTTTTAATCCAACATAATGCTCCAGATAATGTCGTGATAAGTTGTATATGCACAGAAAATCTTTTTATCCAAAAATCAAAAACTAAAAAGGAAGCACTCGATTTTATAGTTATTATTTAAAAATTATTAACCAGATATTTTTTTTTTTTACATTTGCTTTTTCATTTGAAGCACTAACGATAAAACACTTGGCCTTTTTTGAAGTAATAATAAATTTAAGAAAGCTATAATCACCAATTTAATAAAGAAATTAAAGTATTTATAAAAAAAAAAGGCTCCGTCTAAAAATAAGGTCTCAAATAAAAATGCAATTCTTATTGCTATTGCATAATTATTCCAAGGGAAAAAATATTAAGTTTCAGTTTTTACCGCCCCCCCCCACCCACAATGTGATTAAAAATTAAGATAAAAAAATGCGTTTGAAACGCATTAAAATATTGATAAATTATAAAAAAAAAAAATAAATAAATAAATAAAAATAATCAAGATATCGATTTTAAAAATGCTATTCAATTTTGTTTAAAAATATGAAATGAAGTTATTATCTATAGAAAAAAAAAAAAAAAAAAAACTAAAAAAATAAATAAATAAAAAGGCTTTTTAGTTTTACAATTAATTTTATTCCTAGTAAAATAAAATATTTTTATATTTACTAAATTACCGAAGCTGAGTGTTACAAGACAAAGAAATAAAACAAGCCAATGTGTTTTCTTTCTTTCAAGCTTCTCTTTGTGAAGAAAAGACACAAAGTAACAAAAAGCATTTAGAAGGTAAATAATTTTTTAATGCAATAAATATCAAAACGTTTTTACTTTTAATATCATTATGTTAAGGTAGGTTTATTTAAAAAAAAACCTATTTTATATATTAGCTCTGAGAATAAAAAATAAAACACAAAAAACAGTGTTGATCAACAGATGGCCCGGTCTTTGTTTTCACTTACACGAATTGTTTTGCAATTTGTTGGAAAAGAAATACAATATATATTTTCTGGAGGGATAGCATGATTTTTAGTTTCATCGAGCAGTTGAATTTAAATGAACAGAAAAAATATGGCATGATTTTAAGAAGTTATTTTTACTTTGTCCCTTAAATCGTAAGATGAGTTAAGACCGAAGAAAATCATTTTTTTTAAAGCTTTGCTAAAAGAAACAAGTTCATTTATGGAAAATTTAGTTTGATCTTTTCCTTCTAAGAATCTAAAATTGATAGCAGAAGGCGTTAAATAATTTCAGAATATTTTTTTATGGAAGAAAAAAATAACAGCTGATATCGTCACAACTCACAATGGATCAGAAAAAGAGACAAACGTAAAAAAGTAAACAAGTCACAGCAGACTGACATTTTCAACAATAACAAAAAAAAGCCTTTTTAAAAAAAAAAAAAAAAAAACTATATAAAATAAAAATACTTGCCTTTTTATTTCTGCCTTTGAAGACGACTGCAAAAGCTCCATGTCCGATGAGATCTTTCTTGCTATATTCATATTCGCCAACAGATTCCATCATCGTGATTTTTTTCTGATGTGTGAGAAAGGAAAGAAACTAGACGAGATGACTGTATGATAGATAGCACTAAGCAGGAACTGGTTGCTGTCAGACTGAAGCAATTTTACTTAATTTAACAAAATTAAATAAATGTCAAAATAATGCAAGACTCGTTGAGTCTCTTCCCGATATTTCTTTAAGCACATCTAGCCCTTCTATAACACCGAAATGCTGCTAGCTACAAGTTAATGCAAGGGGTTTCTTCGCCATTAATAACTAGTCTACTTAACCTACCCTAAAACAACACGTTTCGTTACACTTTTACTGATTTAGGGGGTCATCGAAATGTCTACATAATTCATTCCCTATATGCATGTTTCTGTTTTTATCCGATCATGATTACGGAATAAATATATATCGTCTATTTCATGGTGAAAATGGATAAATTGTGTATTAAAACTTCATAATTTGACTGCTTAAAAATCATAAGACGTAGTTGATTGATATAACGTTAGCCTTTTGCCATATAAACATGTCTTGATACTGCTTATGTTTGGGCCCATTCCTACCCGCTAACATATCCACCAACTAAAAATAGTACCAATCAAAGAAGTTAATATTTTGAAAAAAACATTCGTAAAGGCACTCAATAACATAGTTACTAAAATATTATACAGTTCAATTCTAATTTTACAATTTTTCAGCAAGGAAAGATAAGTATTCTCTTTATTGATTTCATAGCGCATGAAATTGGTGAGGGTGAATAGTCGGTATAGGTCGTTTGTACATGAAATAGTGCGCGGATTGAAATCTCGCGAAGTCACGTGGTGTAAAGGTCCCATATTCAATGAATAAGGTACGAGTCATCATACCACGTGCAATGATCAGGGGCTGGATTTATTGATTTTTCGCTCTAAGAATACCTTTTGATTATGTTAGAAACTGCTTTAAAAGGTACGTAAGGTTTTGCTGAACTCCCTGAGCATTATTACAATCAGAGTAATCACTCTTTAACAGCTCATCTCTCCATGTTTTAACTCCCCCCTCTCTTGAATGAAAACTGCCTGTCTTTAACTTTTCTATATCTCCCTAGTCCTTAACTGACCCCCGACCAAACCACGCTTCTTTAGTTGAAACTAAAAAGGAAGATAAAACAAAAAGACTTTTGTCGGACAACGGTGATTATATTTAATTGCTTGTTTATTTCGTTTCACATTTTTCTTTTTCTGGGAATTAAGAGTTGTCTTGGCTCACGATTTTCTTCTGTTGCAACATAAATGCCACATATTCAACACCGACCGTTACGCAATAATCACGTCTATTCTGCTCCACTCTACACAACCACTGCAGCTCTATAGCAATAATCTCCATGAAGTTTTTTTTCTTTACTTACCTACTACTTTTTTATACACCTGTTAGTGGTGTATATTGAGCAAATAACAACGGCAATAATTAATTTTTTTTTCCATTGTCCCCAGGTAGGTGGCTATTTCAATCAATGTTAACATTAGTTTTTATCCTTTTATTTACAGTCCAGAAATTTTCAGTTCCATCGTAATAAAATTATTGAACATCCGTTTTAAAGCTAACTTTGCTTTAAATGTCTCCATCTGATCTTAATAAAAATGCGTATTTCTTTATTTTTACGTTCGTTTACTTACCAACACTCCGAATTTTTTTCTTTCTAAATTTGAGACCTTACTTGATCACTTTGGGGGGTCGAGTTATAATTTCGTCCTCCAACCATCGTCCAATTTGTTCAGTTTTTCTTCTTTATTCGTTATGGCAAAAAAATAAAATAAGTTTAATTTCCAATGTCCTCTCTACCTGACCAATTATCAAGTTAAAGTACAAAATTTCAGTTTACTAACTTTAAAATTTAAATCTTGTTACTTTTAATTATTTTCTTTAAATGAAACTATTTTTCTTAGTATTTTCAATGAGTCCCCGCCTCCAAAACTATAAAATAAAAATTGCAAAAAACACATTTCCTGCGTGAAGTGAAACCTCAATGTTCTTTGTTGCTATTTCAATTTCATTTTTACTTTTCAGCGCAACACGTTTCCCTAAATAAAAACTGGTGTTTGTGTAATTAATAATATGTATTTGTGTGTGTGTCAATCACATCGATTGACCATCAGATCAACACACCATGCAGTTTTGGTCTTTCTCTATAAATGATATCCAGGTCAAATCGAACTTCCCTTGGCTTGATTGAATCAGATGCAAGTCAATCAAGAATAGCCAACGTCCGACTAAGTCTGTTCTTTCTGCCACATGGTTAATAATATAATAAATAAAATCAGTAGATGCTTCTTGAAACTATAAATGTGTATATAGCTTACTTAAAAAAAAAATCCATTCTCAAGTTTGTTTGTTTTTTGTTTTTTACACGCTTCCCCCACCCTCTATTGGAGCTGCAAATAACATCGCTCCATTATATCATGAATTGAGTAGCAAATTTCTTTTGTTTATTTATTAAGTTTGAAAATAATTTATAGTTGTGTATGCTGGTAAAACATCGAGACTATAAATTTGTTAGGGCCAGTACAACAAAAATGAAAGTGGCTGTGTAGATTTATTTTTTAGGACTAGAGACTGGAAATAAATTAAAATTGAAAGGATCCTAAGCTTAAATGTGAGATGAAATCAAATCTAATTTGCAACCCTGATTTGTTGCTATGTTGTCAATTTTAGACACGTTTCTTGTTTATTAATAAGACGTTGAAAGTAATAGCATTTTTTTTTTCTTGTATCAATTTTGAAGTGTTTTTAATTTTTCCATAATTAATGACTGACCGTGTTAAAAGAATAGACTCCCTGAATTCTTTAACAGCTGGAGTATTGAAGTTTAATAAAGAAGCTATACATAAAACTTTTAGGCAGCCTTTCACATTTAAATACGCAAACTTAAAATTTATTTAATTTAGTTGACATTTAAAGTTGGTAAATGCTCCCAAAATTTAAAGAAATTTTTTAAATATTTTTGTTTTTAATATTAAACTAGCTTTATGTTTCACAAAATGAAAGGTTGTGTGTTTTGTTTTTTTTAAGGAGTCTAAAGACAGTTGCATTTTATTGAGCAATCGGCATTTTACGGCTTTGATTTTTTTTTCTTTTTCTTTTTATAAACATTAAAGTTACAATTATTCAAGGGTAACTTTATTTATTGAATACGTATTCTTTGGCTGTTTGAAAAATATTATTTGAAGGAGTCTATCCAACAATATGCAATATAATTTATTATTCCTGGGAATATTCAAATTTAATTCTCTATCTTTATCTTTCGTCTTTAACAGCACACATGATAAATAAATATTGAAAAGAGCTTCTTGCTTCTCTCCCTTGATTAGTTTTCGCCTTTGTAACTTTTCTTTCGCTTTTCGTTTTAATTCCTTTATTATCCTATGAGGTAAAAATAAAACTCATTTTCCTTGTAAGATCTAAAAATTCTCTTCTTCCTCTAAGCCGATTAAACTCTTTCGCGTTATTTTTCTTGATGAAATCCGATTTTCCTCAACTTAATTTCTTGCCTTTCCTTAATGTCCCTTGCTATCACAATGTCACCTTTGCTTTAACTTTTTAACCTGTCTCAACAAATCCAGTCTTTATAAAACTTTTCTTTATTGTATAAAGCACCTAAAGTTTTATCATATGTAATCGTTAACATTTTCCGTTTTCATTTCTATTCAATTTAACTAAAAGAAATCTTTTACATATCCTATATTTTTTTCTTCTTTCTCTCTTCAACAGAAAAAAAGTGACAACTGACAAGTCCTTGGAACGGTATTTACTATCTAGTTTCTTTCAAATTTGACTTCAGTTCAATCAAAAATATGATGCCATGCGGAATCTCTGTATAATCAAGATAGATTTAAGTCAAATGTGTTTTCTTTTTTTTTTTTCTTTTATTTTTTCTCATTTTCAATTGAATGAAGTTATGGTTCGTTAATAATTCTAAATCCGTTAAGTCAAGTCTGACTATAACAAAAAATAAAATTTTTATTTTTCTACATATTCTTATTTACTATTTTCAATGTAAAAAGAATGTGCACTTTTTGCAAGATTAATTGCAATTTAACTTGTAGACTTTTATTTTCGAATCTGTTTTTCATACCTGTTGAATATAACTTGTGGGTTATGTTTAATTTAAAGTTGGTAATGCTCATTATCACATTTAGGAGATAAATTTGTTTTTACACAATATTTTTTTTCTGCATTCACAAAACCGTCATTAAAAAAATAATGGTAAGGGAGACAAAACTGCTATTTCAGTACTTTAAATAAGACAAGAGTCAAAAAGAAAATATGTACTAAACAAGCAAATTTGATAAATGCATCTTTAAATAATTGTAAATAGCAATTTGTGTGTGTTTTAAACACTATTTAAAATGGATTAGTTGGGAAAATACACTCTCTAGCAGTTAATGTACAAATATGAACATCGTTGAAATAATTATAATATGGTGTTTGGATTTTTTTTCTTCTGTCGTCTGAAGTGCTCAATAATTGAATTTGCTACTGGTGGCTTATTTTAAAATCTCATGGACAAATTATTTAAACTTACAGCTTTGTCTGCTGTAAGGCTATATTTAAGAAGCCTGTAAGTGTAATGAGGAATGACCTAGAGAGTATAAAAAATTAGATCAGCCGAGTCCTCTACCTTGGTTTCTTCAAGCGATTTCGGCCAATTGATTTCCTAACGTTTTATTCAAAAAAAAAAAAATTATGAACGCTATATTAAAGATAGTGAAAGGTTGAAACTAAGGTACCGGAATCGGCTGATCTACTAATTTTTTATACTAAAAGCTCTACAAGTTAAATTTTTATCTTTTTATATGTGTATTGAGAGAGAGGGATATGTTATATCTAGGAGTTTAAAGGAAAGCTCTCTATATCTGGGATAGGCTATGTAAATATAAAAGTGAGCATTGGGAGTCAACACTCAGTGGCGACAGTCTGTTATATATATTAGAAAGAACAGTAAGATTTATAATCTGGAGTTTTTATTATTTTTA